TTCCTTCTACATTGGTATCTGTTTTCTAGGTTTAGCCTTTACAGTAGCATTGTCGAAAATCTGTGTTACCTTTCTACTTAGGTCTTCTCAAGTGGGCTTTAGTTTTCCCAGTTCATAGATTTATATGGCCACAAAGACTTATCTTGGGTTTGCACTGCCTGATGCCAGTAAGCATTTCTCTGTGTAATTCCAACATTGCACAAATGCCTCATGACCTGCCAATTATCTGGTGCAACCATGTTACAGGTACTGATCCCAACTGATCGACAGATTGCTATTGCTGTAGTACTAATTTTAAGGATTTATTTTGTGTTTGCACTGCCCAATGCTGGTTTGCATTCTTTTATGTAACTCTAACATTGCACAGATGCCCATATACACTGATATAACATAGGTGGTTTTCTAAATTTTTACTGTCAGTGAGTTTTGAACTTCCAATCTATCACTTGGAAGTTGACAATTTATCCACTTCACTAAGTTACCATACCCCTCAATACTCTGATTCTTATACTTCATCTAACAGATAACTACAACAAGTTTTCTTATATCTAAATGTTATCTAATTTAATCCTAACCTTCCTGTCTGTACATCTGTTAAGCTGTTACATATTTCAAAATACATCATCTGACTGTAGAGCTTCAGAAGACTTTCTGTTAACTAATTATCTATATTTAGTTTTTGTTAACAGAACTTGTTTTTGCAAAGTTTATCCAAACTCTAGTATCACTTCATAGTATATTTCTATTACTTATAATATATTTTGCTTTTGGCATCAGACTCCTAATTCAAATAGTTTAAAAGGACTGTAATCTGTTTCTGATATACTGAGATTACAACATCTGATATTTTTTTTTTCTGGTTTAAGACTTTCAGCAACTTGGTTGGTAGTACCTCTTATCTGAGATTCTTGTTTGCTCAATTCCTTTATATTAGTATCTGTTTTTTAAATTTAGTCTTTACAATAATATCATCAAAGATTCTTGCTATCTCTCTATTTAGGTCTTTCTTAAATAGACTTTTTGTTTTCTAATTTTAATAGATTTATATACTATAAGAACTTATTTAGAGTTGTACTGCCTAATACCAGTTTATATTCCTTTATATAATATATTACACAGATGTCTTATGACTTGCCAGTTATGCTAATATGACCATCATTACAGATATCTTAACCTAATTATTAAAAACAGTTACTATAATATGAATATTATATAAGTGATTATTTAAATTTTTGTTGTCAATAGGATTTGAACATCCAACCTACCATTTAAAAAGTTAACAACATATTTACTTTACTAAGTCACCACATCTTTTCTTATAAAAAACTTAAAAAAAACAATTATAAAATATAAAACTAAAAAATTATTTTTTAAAACTTCTGTTTATATAAATGATCTAATAATAAAAATTAGGTTTCTAAAATTAGGGAACAAGAAGCCCATTTGGGAAGACCCAAGTAAAAAGGTAATATAGATTTTTGATGATACTATTATAAAGGCTAAATCTAGAAAATAGATATCAATATGAAGTACCTAAATAGGCAAAAACCTCTAAATAGGGAGTATCACTAACCAAGCCACTAAAAATCCAACCAGAAGAATCAAAAGAAAAAAATATCAGGCCAACCTGATATATCAATAAACTGATTATAATCCTACTAGACTATCTGGATTAAAAGTTTGGAGAAAAAACAGATATATACTAAAAGTACTAAGAATATACTATAAAGTAAGTGCTAGGGTCTGAGTAAACTCTGCAAGAGCAAGCTCTGTTAATGTTCTATAAAGTGAGTAAGTAGTTAACAGAAGGACTCTCAAAGTCTTATAGTCAGATAACATGTTCTGAAATTGGGTAATGACTTAACAGACATACAGAAGAAAGACAAAATGTTAAGTTAGATGGCACTTAGATGTACAAGAACCAGGATAGTTAATTGTCTGAGTGCAGTATAAGAATCAGAGTATTTAATTAGATAGTTTTTTAGTAAATTATAGGTATAACAGCTAGTGTAGAACCCTCAGACAGACTACTTAAATAGGTAATCAAAAGTTACACATATGGCTAGTTGTATGCTTATCTTGTACAAGTAATATATAATATATTTATTAAAAGCACAAATAAAGACATTAGTTATCATTAATATTAGCCTTAATATATATATATATATATAAAAATAAAATAAAAATAAAAAAAATTTGGGTCTTTTACAAAACTTTAGTTGTATATGAGTTGACTTCTAATGTAAAAACTAACAAAACTAAAACTAAATTAGTTTTTCTTATTGCTATAATTTAATGAATAGAACTTATTAATAAAAAACAATTTATCAAATTAAAAAACAAAAAAATATTACTATTTTGAGCTATAATATTTTTACTAATAAGCAACTAAAGAAAGACCTCTAGGCTACTACTATTAATAAACTAAAAAAGTTTTTTAACAAGTTTTTAAATAAAATCTCTTATTTAAAGAAAAAATTCTAATTACAAAGTTATTTATTTTATCTAAAGTTTGTTATTTAGTTTACTTGTTATCTTTAAATAAAAAGTAAGTTGTAAAAATAAACAGAATTATAATTCTCTGGATCAAGAATATATTATAAATGCTTTTTAGATATTTTACCTTTTAGTAATCTATAAAATTAGTAGATCTTTAAGTTTTAATTATTAAAAACATGATAAATGCTTGTTTAATTATAATATAAATAAAGCTTTTTACATCTAACTTCATATGAAAAAGATAAAATATGCTTAATACTTAAAAATAAAAGAAACATCTCTTCTACTCAAGTACTAAATTCTGAAAATACAAGTATAAAAGCTTGGCTTTCAAAATAGAAACCTTATTTGAAGCCTAGATAAGAATTAAAAATAAAATCACTTTTACTTTTAACTAGTTCTAAAACTGTAATAAAATTATAATTGAAGAAATTAAAAGAGATAAACTCTTAGTTAAAAAAACTCTAGAATTCTTAAAAAAAATTATTTTTTACTAACTATACTACAAACTTTTTTATATATATTACAAAATACTTAATTCTTTTTAAAGTTTATATATAATAAGAAAAAAAAATTTTCTAACATCTTTTTTATAAAACACTTTTCTTAGCTATTAATTAAAACACATTAGATTTTCTGAAACAAAAAACTGTATTTGGTGTTCAGATAAGTTACAAACTATAGAGCATTTTATTTTAGAATACTTTTAAAGCATAATAATTTAGTAAAAAGTTTATAGCTTTCTTAATATTAATGAAAAAATAACTATATTGTCTTTACTAAATAATATTTTTAAGTTTTTATTAATACTTGCTCTTAAGCCTTAATAGTTTTAATCTAATTACACATTATTACAATTTATAAGATATAATATTAATACACCTTTATAAAATAAAAAAAATTCAGATACACCTCTTAACTTTCTAAGCTCTTTTGTTAAAAATCATATTTCAAAAGAAATAAAAATTTTAAAAAACAACCTTTATAGTATTAGATTCAAATCTTTTAAACTAATATATAAATATCTAAAAAGTAATTAAGTTATTTATAATATCTTAATAAAAGAGTACCATCTGCATTTTTAGTTATAAGTACAATAAGAATATTTAAAAATAAACTTAACCAATCAATTCAAACTCTAGTCTACTAACAATTCTAAACAAGATTTCTTTTTTTAATACAAGTTTTTAGTTTAATAACTCATCTAATTCTTGAATAATTATTGTTTAAATAACTTTTTTATTTTTGAACTCATATCTCTTATATTAACCTCTAAAAAAGTAACCAATATCAACAATAACATGAATATTAACAACTCTAATTTATCAAACAACAACAATTTTAATACACTTATTAACAGCTTACAACAACAACAAAAACAACCTCTATATTAAGCTTTATTATTACTATACAAATAACAACCAAACCAAAAACTACTCCAACAACCTTAACTATCTTAGTTCTATAGTCAAACAACAAAATCCAAGCTCAACTCATTATATAACTTTTTAGCAAATTTTTCAGTTATTAATAAAATGCAAAGATATACAAAACTACAAATATATTTTAATAACTTTTAACTTCTTTAAAAACATTTTTACAACTTTTTTCTAGTAAAATTATCAAAAAAGCAACTAAAACTTTATATGCACTTAAAACAAGTTTATTGTTGTTGTCATTTGAAGATTAATATAGTTTTAAACATTTTGTTTATTAATATTATTGTTCTGTTTTTTGTAATAAATAAAAAATTTTTAAAACTATATATTGAACATAAAAAAAAGAAAGTATATGAATTTTTTTTTTAAATTTCAGTAACAAGCCCACCAAGCATACTAGACACACGTTCCAAAGAAAACTTCAGATGCGTTAACATTGTAGTATAATTCAAAATATAATTGCAAAAAATATCGATATATATAATTATCGTATAATTATTGTTATATTACTAATCACTCCCAAATCAAAAGTTAAAACTTATCGAATCGACAAATGGGTTGTCATCAATAAAAATCAAGCAGATTGACATTTTTTTAAAAAAAATTAATGCCTTAACTTTCATTGCTTATATCTCAATGAATTTTGAAGTTATTCTAATTATTGAAAAGTCAAAAGAAAGCTAAAGATATAAGCTTTCTTTTAAAATATCCAATCATGAGAATATCTTTGAAATTCATTAAGCAATAAGCAGTGAAAATTAAGACATTAATTTTTTTTAAAAATTATTAATCTATTAAAAAGAATAATTTCACCTTTGCCCTAACCCTAATTTAACTGGGAAATTCCAAAGATTCAAATTGGTATGTTGCACAAAAATTAGAGTTCGGCATGCTACCCGGCATGACAAAATTTTTTTCTCACTAATCCCTGTAGGAACGTCCGGGTTTAAGAGTTAGTATAGCCAATGAAATAAAAGTTTCATCATATTCAAGATTTAGATTATCTACATTTCTACATTTTTTTTAAAAAAAGTGATGCGTTTTTAAAAAAGTTCTAATAAAATGGGGAAAGAACGCCTTCAGAAAAAAGAGCGACATAATCCTCTTCACGTTCAACTTATAGAGGATGAATTACCTAACAAAAAGCGTTATAAAGATAAATATATAACCCGAAGACAAGAAAAGGATGAGGAAGACGTACTTAGAATTTTATATTTTTTGTATTTATTTTAAGAATTTTTTTTAATAATGACTATATAAATTTTACATTTAAAGGAATATACTGGACCTGACCTTTCACGGAAAATTCTTCAAATCGCAAGAGAGCAACAGGAAGAACTTGAATTAGAAGATCAAGTGCATAAGTTGTAATTGTCGATTTGTAAAGTTTTTTTATCATATGAACAGGCATAAGAAGAATTGTTTACTAATTTTATTTATTAAATATACAAAATAGCAAAAATGATCAAAATCGAATGCTTCAATCCATGATAGATGATGAAAGCGATCAAGATGAGAATTTTTCAGATGATGGTGATAACTTTGAATATGAAGAACTAGTAAGTGATATTTTTTATTTGATAAGTTTCTTCTTAAAGATTGAAAATTTAATCATTATCCAATACGTAGGAGATAGATGAAACTGATCAACAAATTCTTGATAAATTTATGCCTAATGTACCAAAAGAAAGGAGAACTTTGTCCGATATAATAATGGAAAAGATTGCCTTGCAAGAATTGGATCAATCAAGTTCAATAGGTTGGGAGAAAATATATATGATATATTATATATATAATAATTATTTGATTTATTCATATTTAATCAATATAATACATAATCTTAAGAGAAAAGCGGACAATCTTCTATAAATCCAAAAGTGGTCGAAGTATATACAAAGTAAGTTTATGTTATTTTATTTCTATAGGTTAAGATTATTGATATTAACGTTATTTAAATAATTAGAGTTGGTACCTTACTGAGTCGATATAAATCAGGAAAACTTCCCAAAGCATTTAAAATAATCCCGTCATTACCTAATTGGGAAGAGATATTGTATATTACACATCCTGAAAATTGGACACCACATGCTACCCTTCAAGCAACGAGAATTTTCGTTTCAAATCTTAAAGCTAAACAAACTCAAAGGTATTTTTATAACTTAAATATAATTAAATGCTATTATGGTAGATGTTACGCAACATTTATATTAATACTAATTATTTGATTACGAATATGTAGATTTTTTGATCTCGTCTTATTGGATAAAGTTCGGGATGATATACATGAAAATAAGAAGCTTAATTGTCATTTGTATATGGCTCTTAAAAAAGCTTTATACAAACCAGCTGCTTTTTTCAAAGGTATCTTGTTTCCACTATGCGAGGTAAGTGACAGTATCACGCATGTCAATGTTTTATTATATTAATATTATTTCTCAATTATATTAATATTATTCCTTAATTAATGTTATCGAATAAATGATTTCAGTCTGGTACATGCACATTAAAAGAGGCAGTTATTATTGGAAGTGTAATATCAAAAGTAAGCATTCCAATGCTTCACTCTTCAGCCGCATTGCTACGTCTCGCCGAAATGGAGTATACAGGACCCACTAGTATATTTATTCGTATATTACTTGATAAAAAATATGCACTACCTTTCAAAGTAGTGGACGCACTGGTTTTTCATTTTATTCGATTTAAGAATGATGAAAGAATTATGCCAGTACTATGGCATCAATCACTTCTAATATTTGCTCAAAGGTATGTAAGAGTTATTTTACGGTAAATCTTCTTTTGATTCCTAATGGTCTTGACCCTTTTTTTTTTATTTTTTTTATTTTTTTTTTTATTTCTGAAAGATATAAACAAGATTTATCACCTGATCAAAAAGATGCACTTCTTGAATTGGTTAAAATCAAGTTTCATTATCTTATCACCCCGGAAATTCGTCGAGAAATTGCCAATTCAGTTGCTCGAGATTTAATTGAAGATAATGCGATGGAACAAATATAAATACTAAATAGAAATGATTGTAAAGTGCATCAGAATGCACAACAGATCTCATCTAAAGATGATAATTCTTTTTACCTCTTGTGTAAAATATAAATATTAAATATGCAAATTAAATTAATAAAGATAAAAAAAAAACTAAAGTTTTATTAATAATAAAATTTAAATTTTATTGACCTTATATAGATTTATACTACGTAAAACATTTACGTAAGATAATTTTATATTTATGCAAATACAATTTCTGATATATAAGTAGTGATAGGGATTATAGGCATACCGCTACTCTTACTAAGTTTGGTTTGAATGCATATCAAAGTAGAATTGTTTAAACCATTTTGAATAGTTATAAAAACAATAGTATAAAACAATAGTACGTATAATTTTTTAAATACAATCAGTTTTCCGTAAATGTACTCTCTCAGGATGTACTTAAAGAGGATGTGCATTTATAAAGCTTTATACAGGTTTATACGTATAAAAACTTTAAGTAATTTTATATAAATTTAGGTTTAAATAATTCAGTAATCCAAGTAGGTTTTATTTAAAAGGTTTTATTGAGAGTAAAATTGATTTAAACCCAAAGTGGGGTTACCAAACTTGAAAGATGTACTGTTAAATAAATTTAACTTTTCTTGATTTGTAAAATAGGCAAAATTTGTTTGCTAACTTCAATTATATTTAATTTTATTAAATCTTAAATAAAAACAAAAAAAAAAAATTTGAATTAATTAATAAACTAAAATACAAAAAAAATAATTTCTATAGTATAATTATTAATTTTATATTTAATTAGCTTACTAATAAGGTGCAGGATAGCTACATTACATATGCAATATTGCAATATTGCAATATTATAGCATAAATTCTTTTTTTGATTAAAATTAATATATATACAGTATTAGTTTAGTATCATACATAATTAAATTATAAATAACTGACAAGCAAGTTTTTTAAAAACAAATTAAATACTTTTGTAAAACTATTAACATTAATACAGTATATATATTATATTTTAAACCTAATTTATCCTTATACTGATACGTATTAAACATTAAAAACCTGTTATCATTATATTTTGTTAATAATAAAGTATATTACTAAACATAACTGATAATATGTTAGTTGCTAAACATACCTGATAATATGTAAGTTTGCTAAACATAACTGATGATATGTAAGTACGTAAGTACAGTACAGCAGTACATAAAATTCCTACCGGGAAAATGTCAAAATTTTTAAGAATGAAAAATTTCTGCAGCTTGTCAATATAACACATATGCCTGCATTTACTAATTAAGGGTATATTAAGACTTGAACAGTGCTTATTTAACGTTTACGTATGTCTTATACGCAGCAGTTACGCATTTATATAAAAAAATTTGAAATAATATTAATAAATTGATTTAAATTGATTAGAAATAATAATATCTCTCATTATACAATAAATATACAAACTGAGAAAAAAGAAGTTTAAGAAACTTCATAATCTATATATTTGCTAAATTATTATTAATCATTAGTACTAACTAATACGCAAGTATGCACGTACTGTACATACGCACATACAATAAATCCAACAACGACATCATTCTACGTAGCTATCCTATACGGTTATTCTATGCGAAATTCTTATTTTCCAGTGAATACATGTGTGTATGTAAGCACATAATGTATGTATGTAAGTACGTACGTACGTACGCGTAAAGGCCACCTACTTATCTAACTGCTAATAGAAAAATTATTTATAATTTATTTATTCAGTTTATTGCTTTGCACTTTCAAAGTAACTAAATTGTTTTTTTTTCGGAGGACTGTATATAAAGTCTAAGGAGTCATGAATGATTTCAGGAAAAAAAATCCAAACTTTTTAGAAACCTTATTCTAATAATCGATTATATGAAACAAATCTCAAAAAATTCATATGATCGCTAAATACCGAAACCATTACAGTTAAAGATTGATTATCTTTACGGTTAAAGATTGATAATCCTATAACGATAGGATATAACTGTATATCGTGTACATACATATCTTTGTTCAGTGTCAATGAACATTGACATAAAGTTAGAGTTCAAATAACGGTTTATTAATGTTTAGATCAAATAACGATTTATTAATGTTTAGAAGTTTTAGCACTTTATACATACTTTATACATGTACGTACGTATGTAACTCAAGCGTTCTTACTGAGAAACTTGATCGTATTAAATTAGAGGTTTTTTTTTTTATTTGCAAAAGTCTTAATGTCAATGCATAAATAATTTGCAGCATTCGGTAATGATATGCCGTTCAACAACCTTTTTTTTAAGTGCATATAGTATGTATCATCATTTCTTAATTTTCTATCTTAAAAAAAAAAAAGAAAACAATCGATTTAACAAAAAAACATACACATACATACAAAATGTTAGATGGATAAAAAATCTAATCTACGCATAAATAAAAATTCTTAGAATCACGTTCTTTTACTTAACGGTTCAAAGGTCATGAAGAAACGACAGTTAAAGTAAATTAAAACTTCAACTGGTACCGTACTTTTTATATAGGAAATTTTTATAATTAATATAATTAATAAATTACATTATGTACAAATTTTTAAGAAAATTCCTTTTTATAGTAAGAAAGAATATTTCTTTTCTTCAGAAGCAATGATCCAGAAGCAATTATATATGAATAATGTCGTTACATGTTTCATACTATTGCTTGACTGGCTACGAATAATAATTTGATTTTTTGTAGTTGTGTGTTCTTTCATCATGTATTCGATTTTGTTTTTAAAGACGAATGTTTAAGTACAAATTGTACTTTTGCATAGTTTTGGAAAATGTTATTAATCGAATTAATTATCACACATTTACACAGTTGTTCTGATATTGATCAAGCTTTCTTATTTACGAAAGCGATGATGCGTATCATATTTTGCCAGGAAATTTCTTTTAATGATAATATTTAAAGACTTTTATCAAATATGATCATGAATTTTGGAAGTGTGGCCTATAACAGATAATGAAAATAAATTATATTAAAAATAAATTATATTAATGATATAAAAAAAAAACCAATAATGATAATAATAATAATAATAATAAGATATTGTGAAATAAATTTTACCTTGTTTTTGCGAGCCACAAGAATCCAATCATGTTTCTCAGATATTATATCAACAACAAACATTACTTGTGCATGTGAATTGACATTTGTATAGTCATTAGAAACTAACGCGCTATGTGCGAACCACATTTCTATTAAAATAAAAAAAAAAAGATTAACAAAAATATATATTACAAAAAAATAACAAAAGATTTAAAAACATATTTTTACATACTTTTGGAATGTTTAGAAAACTTTTTCTTATTTCCTTGTCTCACGATACCACACACTCCACATCCTTTTTTACAGAGTTCACTATTTCCTTGTAAAAATCGTTCTGGGTTACAATCAAACGATGAAGTAGTTCCATGGAACATCGCATGAGTAATATACTCAATTTTAAGACCAGTTTTTTTAGCAATTCTTTGTTTATATTTATCATGAGCTTTAACAAGTTTAGTTGGCATGTCCAATCGGATTATTCCTTTAATTTCCGCCCGTGGAATATCAGTAAAGAACATTCTTTTCACAATTATGTAATCTTGATCTTGTTCGCATAGTACTGTCATTTGTGTGGCTTCCACAGTTGGAATATATGAATAAATGTCGGATGTTGGTAATGAAATACGGGATAAATTACTTGTTCGAGTCATATAAATATTATTTTGATAAAGTGATTGAATATGACAAAATTCACATTCCAACATTATCGTTGATTCTTTTCCTGGAATATAAACACTATTACGTTTATCTTCTGTATGAATGCTATCAATCTTTTCTTTACTATTTTCCTCAGTATGAATACTATTATTTCTTTCTTCTGAATAAATGCTATGACTCTTTTCTTCATTAAAACTATTATTTTCTAAATTTAATATTATTGACCTTTCTGATACTACATCACGTTTCTCATGATAACTCAATACTTCATATAATCTACACGCTATTTGAATATCATCTAACTGACTATTCTTCATATTATTTTCTTCAATAACTGTAGGTAAAGGTAAAGGTGAAACAATATTATTACTTCTCGAAGTTATTTGAGAAATTTGTGATAATGGTCTCGGTAAACGAGAAACTTGTGATAATGGTCTAGATAAAGGTATAGTTCTTTCAGTTGTATCTTCAGATGAAGAAGAAATTGGCATTGAAGTTATTATTGATTGTCTTTTTGATGAATTTTTTCGTGTGCGAAATCGTGAACTCTTTGATTGTTTCATTTTTCCTCCATGAAATTCTGACTCTTGTCGATAATAATTACTATAAATGCTACTTGAAATACTATTACGATCATTTAATTGTTGTTGTTGTGGCCGATTTCTTAACATTAAAGGTTCTATAATTTTATCACTTTGTCGAAGTATCGCTTTCTTTGTCCATGACTTTAATTTTTTAAGTATTTTTTTTCCTTTATTTGTTTCTGGGTTTTGATAATTAACTACTATATATTCTTGTTCCATTTTTTTTTTTTTTTAATAAATCAAATTTATATAATTTATATTTAAAAATTTTTTTTTTTAAAAAATATAAAAAAAAATTATATATGATTTTTTTTCAACGGGCTGTGAAAGAAAGGGCGATCAAGAGGTTTTTATATAAGAAACTCGATGGGAAAATCTAAACAAACAAATGATTTCTAAGTTAGATTTCAAAGTTAGAAAACCATTCACCATTAATTACTATATTTGTAAATCATTATATAAAAGCATTCTACATGTGTACCATTAAATTATTTTGCTGTCACCAATGTTGTTTTCTTTTATGAACAATATTCAACGTACATACATAATGTACATAAGTACAAATGTTACGTATGTTACGCGATCAATAGGTCCATATAATTTTTTTTTGTGAATTCGCGTAAAATAATTAATTATTACCCTTGTTTACCAGATTTAAAAAATTGTCAGGAAAATGACCAGGGAATGACCAGGGAAATGACGTGGGGCTTTGTTAATCAATAAACTTTAATATATACTGTAGATAAGCTAACACCGCATTTATTAATGGATTATTAATAGTGTAATACATTAAATAAACAAAAAAAAAAATACTTCTAAAAACATTTTTGGTTGGAGGGTCGGTTCATCACAACTATACTTGCATCACAATTATACTTGCTGGCAAACCCCCCCCCCCCCCCATAAAAAACAAATTGCTTTTATAATTTGATATTTTGTAAATATATTATATATAGTTATAAGAATATATATCATTTGTTTGAGTAAAGATTATTAATAAAGTTTTTGAGATACTTATTAGTTTGGGCTTTGGTTTGAGATTTGGGCGCGGACAAATCAAAACTATAATAGTTTGAGAAAACTATAATAGTTTGAGATTTGGCCGCCGACAAGTATAATCACAACATTTAGATTTAACAAGCGAAAACTCAATCTTAATATTATCATATTAATATTACAGAAAAAAACAAAAAACCATTCATCCCCAACATAAACAACATAAGCAACATAAACAATTCAACAAGACAATATCAGATATATACAACGCATTTTTTGTGGGGATATAATGCCGAGTTGGCGTGCATTCCGTATTCATGCGGTGACTATGTGCTTATGCATTATTGTATCCTAACTTTTTATTATTTTTTTAATATTTTGACATTTCTAAAATGACAAGTGAAACATATATATATCACCTTTTAAAGATTAGTTGAAAAGTTAATTTTTTTGATTCAAGGAATAAAGAGATTATTTTGGAACTCATTGTTTGTTGCATTGTGTAAGAGATTCTTGAAGTCACATGAATGCAATTTTTGTGAAATTATTGACCGGTAACAAAACTAGTTTTTATTCCCTTATCGATATTAGTTAACTTTTTTCGATTTCTTTATATATTATTTGATAGTCTCCCTACATGTTTAGTGTTTTATATAAGTCTGTAAGTGTTTATAAACAATTGTCATGTCCTTTGTCATATCGATATCCTTTGTCGTATCCTTTGTAATAATAATCTCAACGTCATAACTTCATCACCTGACTTTTGTTAATGTTATCGATTTAGTATACGTACGCATTAAATTTCAAACATTTAAATTTTCGTCCACGATAAATTTAAATTTTAAAAGTTGTTGAAAGTTATTAAAATTTGCGTAATATTTCGGAACCACGGCCGAAATTCTCCGCTTTTGGTTGCCCAATACGTCCAAAATAATTATGATTATTTCTTTGCATCTTTTTTGTTTCTTGGCTTAAAAAGTATCTGTTTAATTCCAAAATTCTCAAATCCTTAAATGACTTGCATTTTTGTTGGGGTTCGACTTCTTGATTGTATTTTTAGTTGTAAAATGTTTTTATTACGTTTCAACTAAAGAACAAATAATATCTAACAATGTAAAGAATGTCAAATGCGAATCAACGAATGATGAAACGATGGATGACCATGGCAGAAAAATCTATTATTTTGCATGAATGCGTGTTTGCTTTTTTTTTTTTTTTTTGAGTGACATAATAATCTTAAATAATAAAAACGAATAACATTTCTTTTTTTTTTTTCTTACCATTACTCCAAGTTTAGGTAATTACTTTTGCATGTTCTTATGTACGAATAAAATATCTCAAAAGTTTCTTTCTCGTTTCTCAAGTGGTTTCTTGATTTCATATGATTATGAAAGTGCGTTTATGTATGTATTCCCGGTTTTTGATTACATTATATGTAAATAAATGTATATAATAAATGTATAATAATTTAAATTTTCACAACTTATATAACAACCTTTTTATTAAAAATGCCAATGTAATTTATTGAAGTCATTTGAAACGATATTCAACTCTAAAAGTAATTGTAATATGATCAAGTTGTTAACGATAGTAGATTTAAAGCAGGTGTGAAGCAGATGTGTAGTAGATGTGATAAAACTTTTCAATAACTTGATTCCTTGATCATTCGAGTTTAATGATCTAAAATAATCTAACAAATACTTACCGCTAAAAATCCGGATACATACCAACTAGGGATGTTAAGTAATTAGGATAAAAAACTATATCGATATTGATTCATTTTGGGACTCAAACCATTATAGTTTAAGCCAAACCCGTTTGAACTACATAGTTAATCGCAACTATTATTACGTAAATATGTATTATTATGTATTTAATCAAAATATATATGTACGTACGTACTATATATATATCACGTATAAAAAGCTCCTCCAATCGGAATGCTTGCTGATTAACATAAATGGTTTAACTCTAGTTAACTAATTTTAATATGTACCGACCATAGTACCCAGGATACGATACATTCCACGGACAAATTCCAAGTTAGTACCCGGGTCTTTTATAAGTTTTTTGTGGGGGTACTTGAATATGTGAGGGTACTATTGCTATGGTTCGCGCTGTACAATAGTTAAAATCGGTTTAGATATTAATTGCCAGTTTGTAAGGCCAGTTTGTAAGTAATATAACTACCGTACAGAGTGGTTTAAAATACCTATGGTACTTTACAATTTAAGTTGTATATATTGGTATTATAGTCGAAGGGTTACTATGGTCAGTATAGGGGGTATAAGTTGCATTATATGAGTGCTGCAGTAATATTTTATGTATTCTAAGTGTACAATCCATCTTTAGTACCCGGATAAAAGGGGTCTTTAGACCACGCTGTACAATAGTTTTTAATATTTTAACACCTCTACATATCACTTTACAATTAATGTTAAAAAAATTTATTTTTTAACTATTTAGTTTATTTAAAAAATTGTGTTTACTAATGATTTGTTAAATCTTAATTCATTAATAATACAGTATACAGTAATTGTTAATTTTAATTTATAATAAGTTTTAAATATTTTAATTTATAATAAGTTTTAAATATTTTAATTTATAATAAGTTTTAAATATTTTATTTATAATAAGTTTTAAATACTTTGCTTAAATTACTAATAGCTTTAAACCTTTTTATACTGTATTAGTACATTTTATTAATTTATTAGTATATATTTTAGGCAATTAATATTTATACACTAGGACACAAGTTTGAGGTATGCTAATAGTTAATTTGGCTAAGTGTAAATTAGAATTTTTGTTATTAAAAGTAATTATTAGCTTACCTCAATCTCGTGTTCTAAAATAATGCCCATAAGCATTATTTTGGTACATATCGATATTACTTAAATTAAAATTACCTTGTATATAAAAATGAATGATTGTTTATTGATGAGTTAGAATTGAATTTAATTACTCATGAATTTTCTTAATTATGTCTTTGATTTTTATCTAAAATATTCCAAAAAGTCTTTATAATACCTGTGCACTAATTAGATGACTGAAAAATCGCATTTAGTAAATTTTTTTTTTATAATCACATATATCAATAAACAACAATACTACAATACTAGACGTACCATATTTTCGCGAAATAACGCCCACCTGCGCGTTATTTTGAGTTAATTAGAGTACGCGCATGGGCGTTATTTTGAGACAAAGATTTAGGGTCACGCATGGGCGTTATTTTTATTAAGCCTCACATACTATTTTGAGGAAATTACGATTTTCTAAATAACGCCCATTGCCCGTTATTTTACGAAAATACTGTAATAAGTAAAAAAAAAATTTACCTTTTATATATATTTTTTTTTTAGTATAATTTAGGTTTTTTAAATTTAAATTTTTTACTACGTAGCAAAAAATATTTGTGATTTAGAAAAAGAAATAATTTGGGCTGCCGTCAATAGAAATCAAGCAAATCTACATTTAAAAAAAAATTAATGCCTTAACATTCACAACTCATATCTCGATGGATTTTAAAGCTATCTTGATGGTTTAATATTCAAAAGAAAGCTTAGATCGTAAGCTTCCTTTTGAATATTAAACCATCAAGATAGCTTTAAAATCTATCGAGATATAAGCTATGAAAGTTAAGGCATTAATCTTTTTTTTAAATGTAGATTTGCTTGATTTCTATTGACGGCAGCCCATTTATCTATTTATATAAATCTATATATATATTTTATATGTAAAATTATGTAAAATAGTAAAAAATTTTTAACTTAGCGTTAAATATTAAAGCTAAGATTAGGGCATTACTGAACATTTTTTACTTAGTGCATCGATCGGTGATTCCTTAGTTACTTTTGAGAAATAGCTACGTAAAATAAATTAAATTATTTTTATATATAGATATAAATAAAATTTTACATAGATTCTTATTACACGTATAAGTCTAAATAAAAATTTTATATAATATTTATATAACTGTTGATGTACGTATGTAGAGTAAGTTATTAGTTAACTATTTAGAAATAAGTTATTATTTAACTATTTAGCTAATACGTATGTATTTTAGCAGAATTTGTAACTTTAGCCGAATGTCGTAAAATAATTAGTTATCTTATACCAAAATTTGACTGATAACAAAGTTATCCGACACGTCTTATGTTATCACTAAATGATTTTTATATAACTAATTTAGCCACTTTCTAATCTAAATATGCAAATTTGCAATATTAAATGTGATCATTGTGTGAGGTAATCTTAGCATTTATTCACATACACCTCACGCAAGGTTGGTTCACTGATCATTAAAATTATCTCAATCGAATGATGTTACTTTGCGTAAGGTACGTGAAGTAGCGGATGTGAGAATTTTGTACTTTACGCGAGGTATACGTATCTCTAAATAAGACATATATAGTTATTGCCAATAATGGAAAAACGGAAATTATTTTATAAATAATTTCCGTTATTGGCTGCTTCACATCCAATAACTATATATGTGTGTATTTAATAAACTAAACAACTAAATAATGACAATACAACTAAAAATTAATTATAGTTGATTATATATTTGTTTAAAAATAAAATATTTTTGGTTATTACAAACTAGTTGGTTTTTTTTTTTAACTACTGAACTAAAAGTGTATAATCATAAAAGAAGGTATTAAATTAATAACCAAAACTATATTAATTAATTAAACAATCGGTTATTACTTTGTAAGAAAGGATTTTAAAAAATTTTATCATCAATCTACTATCATAAATTATAATAAACGAAAATCTAAAATTTTAACTCAGTCCATAAAACAGGTAAAATTACAACACAAGCAGTATAAATTACAATAAAACTTTTTAAAATATTTTCTGGTATATGTAAAATTGTATCATCTCGAAATATTTTGTATACTCCATAAATTGCCACGGCAAAGAAATGAGATATTAGCATGAATGGATTTGGTAGTAATCTAATAACAAGTTAATAACAAGTTAATACCAAGTTAATAACAAATTAATAACAAATTATCATTAAATTTTATTATCAAAGATGTGTGCATATAAATTATTCGTTTATAAAGTTGACACTTACCCTGCCAACATTCCACATGGGTGTGCGATACAAATCCCTCCTAGTTTAAAGTAGTTGAAACATGCTTCACGTAATATATGTAGATACATGTCTATATTTTAACAATAATGAAGCGGTAGAAATGATCAGTTAAGCTGTCATAATACATACATTTTTGTAGAGAATTAATTTCCTACCATCTGCTGCAGAAAATAAAGAATATAATGCTTGTGCAAGTACGTTTATCACAGTACTACAATAAAATTTTCGTTTCCAATGAAACACTTGCAATTGAGCCAGTATAAGTCCAATATCGTTGAAATCTGGTGTTTGAGTAGGAGATAAAAGATCGGAAAGTATCACTACATCACGAAAGCCTACGGTCATACCACCTGATCAAAAGTGATTTATATCATTAATATTAATTCACGAATACAATCAAAAATTATTTTAAAATTTGATGCATACCACCAGTCAAAGGGTGCCTCATATTCATTGCGTCACCCAAAATAATCAATCCACCATGAACATTGGTAGAAGGTGGCAAAAAACTGTTTGGCATTGATCGAAGACGTTCAGTTTGTAATGCTTCACGAAAGGATGGCTAAATTAGAACTCAATATATTAATTGTCGGTACTAATGAACTACGAATTAAAAAAAAAAAGTTTAATTAATTAATTAAAAGTTTACCTGAACCGATTTTGGAATAAATGGTAAAACCTTACTTTCAATATATTTCTTTGTAATAAACGAAATTATTGTTAGAAAAGTTGTGAATGCAGTAAATAAATAAATAAATAATACATTCAGTATACCTTTAATTCTCCTGTGCCATTACTTGGCAACTTTCCAGGAATATCAACTAATACGCGTGTTTCATGCGTGCCGATCTAAATAAAATGTATAAAATCATTTAACAAAATTGTAATATATTCTACGCTACGCTCCGAATAATAAAAAATAAATACCTGATACATCAAAATCGGCGAATTAGCTAGTACTACATGACCGTGATTCGGGAATGGAAGTATAGCGTCTTTCATTATAAATCTATTCATCGAAGCAAAAAAAAGTTTAACTTATTGGCACGATTATGAACAATAACTAACCGAGTTATAATAAGATTACCCAACAAAATTAGATTTTGCTTGTACATCTTTCAGGATAAAGTCTTTACGAAACTTTGAAAAACAACCATCAGCAATGATCGTTAAAGGTGCATAAAACTATTTTATAATATTATTTTTCAAAAATAAAAGTTAATCAGAGAAATTAAATCGTACGTAATATAAGAATAAAAACACTAACATGGCGAATATCACTCTCACCCTTAGGCGTACATATTACACCTAATGCACGTTCAGTTACCGGGCAACTAATAATATCACTCGCCACAGCTTCATAAATAGTGACACTTTTAATAAGCATTATGTTAAGATCAATTGTTTTGTAACGATTGAGTGATAAATTAATTCATCAAGTTCAATATCATACTTTGTTATTTTTGAGGCTGCATTTCGAAGATTCATGATAAATCTTCCGTGATGAAATGAACGACCTCGGGAAGCTTTGCCATTGATATTTGGATAAGGTATGTGAACAATTTCATTTTCATAAAAAACACCATATCCATAACAAGTAATTGAATCAATATTTTCTAAACATTCTATAAAACTTTATTAAAATTTTGAAAACACTAGAATTATCACATAGTTAATTATATTATATATATTTAAGAATACCTGCTAAACCAAGTTTTTCCAAAGCTGAAACACCTCCAGGTTGCAGTAATTCACCAACAATTCTATTGGGTTCACTCATGTCTCTTTCTATAATATTAATAATAGATTAAATTAAAGATTTTTTTAATTGTATAATGAATTTAGAATATTTTACCAATAAGTAAAACTTTTCTTCCTTGTTTTCCAAAAGCAACGGCTGCGGCACACCCCACAATTCCAGCACCGATTATGATCAAATCATATTCTGAATTCATGCTAGAAATCTAAACTTATATAACCAGTATAAATTTAGTGGGGTTTTCAATTGAATTTAAGTTAAAAAAAGGGAATCGTTATTCATTAAAAAATTAAATGAATGTAATCAAGAATAAAAAAAAAAAATAAAAAATACCATTGAGGTCATCTTTTAAATGATTTTCCTGGATAAATTAAAGTCCTTTGCCTTACTTAGTTTTTTACGGGAAATTTGCTCTTTACATACTAAAAAAAAGTGTTACACGATAAGCTAATATGGATCCGAAAAAATTCACATTTTGCTTTTGTGTAATGTTGCACGATAGTTCGGCAAACATAATTCGAACCAGGTGAACGTAAATCAACATCGTTAAAACAAAACTTTTTTTCCTGCCAACTAAATTCCAATAAGTGTAACGCAATAGATTGATCGTTATGGTTATGTTCAAATATTCATAATTAGATGGAAAAAATGTGTATTTTTGAGCCATGCCAGTACTGATGCGCTATTATCACGATTATCATTTATGTATCGTGCACAAGCATGATTGCGTGATGTATGTAAATCAAAACTATATGTGGTTATATAATAAAATTCATTAATAAAAAAAGTAAACGAGGTGGATTTTGATAGGGCTTATTCCAAATTGAGACCCATCATCCAACTTCACGATCATTTCGCGACAATAACGACCCTAAAGTACTTTTTAAAACCACAAAGAATAAGTAGAAACAAAGTATATATAGAAAGTTTTATTAGGGTCGTAGGACTTCAATACTAAAAATAATCAAAATTCCTTTTTGTTTTAGAAAAGTTAGCATAATAACAACTTCCGAAAAATAGGTTATAATCACATTAACTTTTCTAAAACAAAAAAGGATTTTGATTATTTTTAATATTGGAGTCCTATAACTTTAATGAAACTTTCTACGTATATACTTTGTTTTTATTTATCCTTTATATGGTGGAATATAAGTTGGAACCGGTTTTAATAATGCACTCAAGAAATCTGTACCAGGTTTTGTCAATTACTGTGACGTAGTAAAAAATTCTTAAAATTCATGTTAAGGTTAGCATTTAGAATAAAGTTAAAGGTTAAAGGATTGCATAGTAAAATTACTCAAGAAAACCTTTTTGTTATAGCACTAAAAATGGTGTTTTATACTGTTTTTTGAAAAATAAGCAATTTTTGACAAAACAAATATTTGTTTTGAAATTTCTTAATCATGTTATGTTATACTTGATTCTTGAGATCTGATTTGTGGATCAGGAACCTGCACCACAATAATTAACAAAATCTGGTACAGATTTCTTAAATGTGTGTTGGTTAAGAAGGCTTTAACCTGTCTGATAATATTATTATGTTTTTTGAAATTTAAGTAAAGCAGAGTAGTTTTAATTAAAAATAAGTATTGAAAGTTATTGTTTTCTTGTTAAAAATATATTTAGTAGTTGTATTAATAATACTAGTTTAGAGAATGATGTTTCTAATATAATAATTGGATTGTCATTCTTCAAGTAATAGGTTTAGAGTTCAAATCTTATCAGTAATAAAATTTTAAAAGATAATCCTAATTTGATAACTTAAATAAGACATCTAAGGTCATAATCTTGCAATTCTGATTATATTAAGACTAATTTTAGAAGTATACAATGTTATATAAATAAATTTAGAAAGTATAAATTAAAAAAAAAGTTGGATGTTAGTAACTTGAATAAAATATCTAAGATAATAATCTTGTAATTCTAATTGTACTAAGATTAATTTTGAAAGTATGCAATATTTTATAAATAAATTTAAAAAATATATATTAAATAAAAAATCCTAATTAGAAATTTTAAATAAAAAAGTATAATCTTCAATAATATTATATGTAAAGATCTTAATCTAAAGAAAAAAATTCAAAGTAGATAATCTGTATAGACAAGAATCTTTAGATAAAAAAATTCACAATTTGACTAACTAATTAAACTAAATATAAAGTTACATTATACAAAGTTAATTGAATTAGTAATATATAAGAACTTGCAAAAATATATAAAGTACTAATAAAGCTATAAAAAGAGATACTAAAATTGTATAAACTTTATAAAGGTATAATGCTTTAAGTTATTCTTAACTATAAATGTTGGTCTTAATTATATCAAAAAACTGAATTAAATTTTTTTTTTTTAGTATTAAGGTAACCTCTTTGGTTCAAGCTTTTTATTAATACTTATAGCAAATATATAGTTTATATAGACATATCTATAATGAACTATTAGACGAGTATATAACTAACTACACATATAACTTTTCTATATTACCTATTTAAGGAGTCTGTTCGAGGGTTCTCCACCAGTTACTGTACTTAACACTCCTGCTTAGATGTTCCATTTAAATTCTCTGATCTAACTCTAGTATTAATTTCACCAAGTTACAGACCCAGATCTATTTACTATCAACCATAGAACTATAATTTTTAGACTATTTTTATCCTCAAGATAAACCTACCAAAGCAAGCTATATTCTCTTTTACTACTAACCTGGTTTGACGCTATGGCCGAGACCAACACTTGCAGTCAGGGTTACTCCTTAAACTACTATTACCCTTGTAAAGTTCATCTAAACCCTGGTATCCATCTTTCCAACTTCTTCTTCATCATCCCCTACTAACTGCAACTCAGAACTAACTGACTCTTCAGACTTCCAATTCAGATGGCCTAGTATGGTATACTTATGTATCCTTTTCCTTTGGTGATTTCAGTGGCCTGGTTGGTCATATGCTTCTCTACACATCTTTGTTATCTAGTTTATTCAACAGTTTCTATAAAGGTGTTTCATGGGCTTCTATCAGTCCAATGGCACTATTAAAAGTTTGTACTATCTCTTTACTCGAGATTTCCAAGTGAGTTTCTATCTCTTTAGTTTCTTAGCCTTCTATGCCTAGTGGTCTTATTGTGGGTTTGCCTGAAGCCTAAAAACTAAATTAATTAAAAATTAAAATAATAAAAACTCTAATAATAATATCTTGAAGATACATATTGGCTATTTTAAGAGTATAGGTTAGCATCTGTAATTTTTTAATTGATATATGTATAAAAAAATATTAAAGTAATACAAAACAGAACTATATTACAAAAAGTTTAAATAACTAATATTTTTAGTTAAATTGCAGATATAACATTTAGTATAAAATTTATAATATAAGTGAACTATTTAAATTAAATATTAAAAGTATATATATAGCTAGTTGTATTTTTTAATATAAGAAGTTTTTTATAATTATTATGTTTCAATATTAAATAAAAAGTTTCTAGTTTTAAAAAAACTAGTTAACAAAAAAAACATAATAATAATACTGATTTAAGAGTATATATTTTATAACTTAGTAGATAAGTTCTTATATTTTTATAGTTTAAATTAATAGTTTAAGTCTGATTAGAGACAAAATTTAAAAGTTTTTAGTTTTTATAATTTAAGAAAGAGTTAGTAATTGAATACAGAGTTTTGTAAACAAAAAACTAAATATAGTACATAACTAAAATAAAAATTTCTAAAAGAAGATTGACTTTACAAAATATAGATACTATATATAATAGTATTATTACAGAAGGTTTTGCTATACAAAAGTTATGTAAATAAGTTTTTTAAAGATGAAATAATACTAATATCCTTGCATTTAACTTGTAAAGTATTTAATTAAAAAAGTAATATTAAAATAATACAAACTAAAATAATAAAAAAAGTGATAAAGGATGTGGCAACCTAGTGAAGTAGTCAGGTTGTCAACCTTCCAAGTAGTAGGTTGGGTGTTCAAATCCTATCGATGGTGAAAATTTGGATAATTATTTATGTAATATTTGTATTACAGCAATTGTTACTAACAATTAGGTTAGAATACCTATAATAGTAGTTGCACCAGCATGACTAGCAGGTCATGGGGCATCTGTGCAATGTTAAAGTTACACAGAGGAATGCAAACTGACAAATCAGGCAGTACAAACACTAGATAAGTTCTTATGGCCATGTAAATCTGTTAAAATTGAGTAACAAGAAGTCCATTTGAAAAGACTTGAGTAGAGTGATAGCTGGATCTTTAATAGCCCTACTGTAAAGGCTAGCCTGGTAAAATGGATACCCAGGTCTAGTACCTGGTCCTAGTAGCCAAACAGGCAAGAACCTCTAGGTTGGGAGTTTCAGAGATACTACCAACCAGGTCACTAAAATGAACTGAAGAAAAAGAATATTAGGCTAACCTGATATACCAATAGACTGGTTGTAGTCCTACATAGGCTATCTGGATTAGAAGTTTAGTAAAAAGAGCAGAGG